TTCCTGTCCACATTTTTCAAGTTTATTTGTGGCCGCAGATTCCAAGAGGAAAATATACTCACGACAGGACACGAAGAGGTCAGCATAAACAACACATTTGTTATTAACTGCACTGGCAAGATGTGCAATAAACACAGCCAGTGTGCGCACACTATGGAGGGGGAGGGGGGGGGGGCGTTGACAACAGTGACTTGCAATGACCCGACGAGTCAGAACCACAACAGGTGTTCCTCCTCAATGTGAGTCTCGTAATATTCATAACAATAATACATAAGAATAATAAAGTGACTGCTTTACAGCCCTTCGTGTGTAATTGCATGCGTTGGATTTATCGCCGGAGCTTTTAAGGGAGAAGGCGTCAGCGTGGAGACGCATCACTCGCGGGAGACATTTTACACAGTGACTCCCCAGATGTGGCGTCCCTCCCTTCCTCTATCCCAGCACATTTACCATTTCACTCTTATCAACGACCAGCCGTTAATAAGCCTGACTGGACGCTAGTGCTGCCCCTGGGCTCATGACGAAAAATAGGGGAAGCGTCTATCTCAAGTCGAAAAAAGGACTCAAGCCCCAAAAATACACAAGAAGTCTGCCATGATGGTTTTAAGATGCCATTTTAGATTCATTTTTGGTGAAAACGTGCACGTTAGCATAACCAGAACGTTTCTGAAAAGTCTATTATTTTGGTTTTAATAGCAGTCATTTTGGTGATGGTTGGTAACTTCCCCTGGAATCATTTCAAAATTCATCCCGTGAAGCTAATTTGACCTCGCAACATAAAATTTGGCAGGGGCGTCTTCCCACCAAAAAGTCTCAAGAACTCATGGCTGAAAAGGCACAGGGAGTCAATTATTTTGGTCTAAAGTGGTCATTTTAGGAAGGCTACCATTCAAAAGCAGTAGATTTCTTGCCTCAGAGGGTTTGAAGTTTGGAGGTTCAAAATGATTCAGCTTCCTTGATGGGCATTCAGCAACAAGCATAAAAAGTCTACATAGGAGCGTTTTTTTTTTTTTTTTAAATCAAAACATCTATTACAGCAACTGATGCGAGCTTTGAGCACCGTGTGAAGCTAACCTGCTAGCATTTTGGACTGGCTAGCTTTTCAAATCAACAATAATGGGTGACGACGCTGTGTCAACAAAGCAGTTTAGCTGCTAAAATATGAGGTCGAAGCTAAATGAAGGAAGTTTTGTCGGGAAGTTTGCCTAACTTGAAAAGAATGCTGTCCATCTGCGACAGTGTCGCGTGTCTTTGAGGCACAGAAAAGGCCCTGTGTTCTGGTTTTGATGTCCTGCTGTCTTTGAGGTGCTTCCAGCAAAGGATGCACAACTGCACAGACATTTTCAGTTCATGAGTCTTGCAGTCGACTTGTATCGTTCCAATTTATGTTCACTTGATTGTTTTCGTTTGGGTTGGCACTCCATTGTTTCTCCAAAAGAACTGTAAAACAACAAATATTGTTTTTTTTTATGCTAATTTGTTCCAGGCCGTCACAAACAATATGAATGAAGGGGCATTGACAAGGCGCAATTACGAGGTATGTGCCATCACGCGCAAAGTACGCGCGCAGACAGACACACACACACGCACACACGCACACACTTTCACATGATCCTGATAAAAAACACATGATTGACATTTATTTAACCATCCTCAAAAGCCAAATGGGGATTTGGCCTGTTGTCAAATAATGAGTCTTAAATCAATCTGACAGTCATGGACATTGTTAGTCGCTTGGAAGCGCCCCCTGGTGAAATGAGGAGGTTTCAGTCAACGAAAAGTGGGGTACAGTAAACGACAGCTGGGTCCCTACCTCGTGCCAATAGCAAAAAAAGGCCTCGGAAGCCGAACACAGTTCTGTACTGATCTGGCGTCGGACCTCAGCTAATCTACGCTTATATCATGTTTAAATGTTCGAAAGGGACTCAGTGGTGAACAATAAACCCTGAATTAGGAAGATCAGTCAAGCAGAAAACAGTTCAGTAAACTGTAAACTCTGACATCATATTAATTAGCCCCGTTTGCCAGTGACATAGTATTTAGTTAGAACCATCCGGGAATGTTGTGAACTCGACTTTCCCGGAGCTTCTGCTCCAGACAGATACATCGGGAAGGGCTTTTTTTTTGCTCCTTTTAAGGAAGCAAATGACTCAGAGCGGAACCATCAGTTAGTCTTTATGGGGGCGATCAGGTTCTCGTTTTCATCATTTTATTTTACTTGAGCTTTGACGCAGCACCTGTTGTTAAAACCCGAGCTTGCTCGGGAATGTGACTGACTTGTGCACAAATTCCTACTCCTTCTGACAGTGGTCCCATAAATCCTCCTTAGAATTTTGGGGGGGGGGATCATAATCAGACATCACAGGAACTTTCTGGCCTATCTCAGGTGATGCTGTTTCACTACCAAGTCAAAACACGCCACAGCTGACTGCACACCAAAGCTGCCTGTTGCTAATTGGTTGCAATTTGTACTCAATTCAAACAATGCTACAGCTTCAGACATTCCCCACCCGTTCTCCCATATTAGGGGTGAATGGCAGTGAGACATGATGACGCACGCTTGACACGCATCCAAGGTTTTTTGTTTTGTTTTGTTTTTATAGGAAACTTCCAGGAGCTACGAATGCAAATAGGCTTTTATTTTGCAATAACTTCCACCTAGTGAAAAGGTCTGGAATGTAATTGATGTATGTCGTAAAATTCACCTGCACCTGGATTTCAGATGCAGTACATCTGTTTGACTTAGAAATATTTACATTTTTACATTCCTTAAGCTAGTATATCCTTTATTATGCTGTACTTTTTAGTAACTATCACGTAAAAAAATATATATATATATCTTTCTTTGCTGCTTCACATTGCGGCGTGTGGCGTCCATTTTGGCTCAAGCTAGTTTAACAAACATGACTCCTTCTAAATACAGCATAATGTACATACAAGCGGTCAGAAAACGAAAAAAAATCAATTGGAAACGTTAAGACTTCTGTAACTTCATCAATATGCATGGGTAAACTTGCCTTGGGACGCTGTCTCGTCCTTCAAAACTGAATAAAACCGTTCTGGGATCACACGGTCAGGAAAAGTGGGCTACTAATAAACTCTTCCTGGATTTGTGTTCTGTCGCTCTCGTGAAACGTCATCAGCTGCGGCCGAAGTCGCGTTCCAATCGAAAGTACGCATAAATCGAGAATGCAGAGAATACACGGACTTTGTTTTGCTATCTTAAATCAAGGATACGTCCATCGGTTGGTGACTTGGCTCGGAAAATACCCCATCCGTTCCCAAGCATTTCATGTTGCTATCAAACTGCCTGAGAAGAGGATTCACGTCTTAAAGTTTTTCCCCCCTTTTATGGAAATATGTCATAACTTTGTGGGAAGTTCACTTGTACTGTACACAATGAGTTACAAACAGACTTGCGCTCTTGTGAAGTACGTTTTATCGAGTAGTTTCTTTGGAAACTGACCTTACATGCCGAGTGTACGACAACGTACTCAACTTTCTTGATATTGAGAAATTCTGGAAGCAAAGCGGCGGCTCTGCTGTCAAGTAGAATTGTAGCCTCGGGGGCAACAGGAGGTACATTCTGCAGGTTACTACTAATTCTGTCACTGCCATCACTGCTCATATCTACTGGACTTAAAACTATAAAATTATCAAATAGAAAGTATATTAAGATTCAAAGACTGATCTAATAGCGTCCATTGACCCTTAAATAGATGATACATCCGAGACGTAATATGGTATTGAATTGTCTTCGCAAAGTGCACAAAGTTGACATTTCTGCAAGTGTAAATCTACCTTCGTCTTTAACTTTGCTTCAGGGATTCCTGTTTGGCTCCACTTGTGAGCAGAGGTTATAGGCCGCTTCAGGATGAAAATAAGAACGTTTTAATGCTTTAAATAATCAAAATTAACCCCAAAAGTTAACGCTTTAAATTTAACAGCCCTTCGCAGTGTATTCAACGAAGTGGCAAGTTATATTTGGGCTTATACCGTTTGTGGGCTCCAAGTTTTGACTCAGTTGCACAATGTGTACATTTTAGTCAGAAACCTGCAAAATCTAAAAGTAGCATCCCAAGACCATAAAGGTTTTTTTTCTTTCTTGTCATTCCTTAGCAAGGACTATTACTGCATGTTCATTAAATCACTTTTGGAAAGCAACTTTTATGGCAGAGGTTTATTTTGTAAAGGAGGGTGAGGAAGGAGGGAGCAGGAGTTTGTGATGAGGAAAAAATGGTGCAGGAGTTCGTGATGAGCAAAAAATGGTGCGCCACCAAATGATATATTCATAAATGTACATGATTTTTGGGGGGGGGGGGGGGGGAACAGTTTTACGCAAGGCAGACATGCAAACAACTACATTGTGCCTAATATACATGTATAAATAATAAATAATATGAGCATTTCGGCAATATTTCATTCGATTTGGAGACAAAATGTATCCACGTTTTATATAGCATTAAAAAAATAGCTCCTGGTTTTGTCACACATTCATTCTCAAATTCAAGATTTTTGAACCACTTTTAGGTCTTCCCAAATGGTCCAAATTACACCATCTGATAAAACGTTCACAATGTGTGCGAGTGGTAACGTAAAGTGGAAATGTGTAGGAGAAAAAAAAAAAAAAAGAGCACTGAGGAAGAAAAAACGTGGCGAGGAAAACTCAGAATGTTGAGCCCCGCACTCGCTGTAATGCAGGAGAGAGCAGCGGCGCTATCAATTTACACCATCACGGACAACACGGCCGCTTTGCAGTCAAAGACACCCACACACACGCACACACACACACACACAAACGCGCACACACAATTTCATTCCAACGTTTTCCAAAATGTAAATAAAAATAACACAATAAAGCCCTGGGATGTTTTAAAGAAATACAAACTATTACATGCAGGATGATTGACAGTTGAATTTGTCCAAACAAAATTAAAAAAAAAAATAATGAAAACAGGAGAATTCTTCTGCCCTTCAAAGTTGTCACATGAACAAAAAGCTGCACGGTTTCAGTCCTTTATTCACTAGAATATAGATCGATAGGAAATCAAAGGAAACTGCGATTAATGACAAGTTCAGTGAACTCGCTAGCCTTTACAAAGAGCACAAATGTTGAGATGCCTCATGGTGATGCCCTCTTCTCGCCCCAAAATAAATTACAGTTGCCAAAACCAAATGCACTGATCAAGTTTGTGGGGGTTTAGGGCTGGGAGTTGGTAGAGGGCCCGATGCAGAACAGCTGACGGGACAGACTGGTTGAATAGGCTCCAGGTTCTGGGGCTAGACGGTTGACCCTCAGGTTGTTGTGGCATCCGGAGAACGCAGGAGATGAGGGTTGGGGGGGGGCAACTGTACAGTGAATACAAAGGTCCTGAAGTAGAAACTGCAGTCTTAACATGTGCCATACTTTAAAATGTAGAGGAAAAACACCCTTTATGCTCATCAATATGATGAGCAGAAAAGTCCCAAACCAAAGCTTTGAAGTCTTTATTTTTGCTAGTGGGGGGGAGGGGGGAAGCAGGGGAAGGAGGGAAACGTAGAGGAGAAACTCCAACACAACAGGAGGAGGAAGAGGAGGAAAGGACTCCATTGATGACGCAGATTGGCTGGTGGGAGGGGAGACACTCCGGCACTGGTGTGATGTGGGGTGGGGGTGATTATTTCCTGGAGCTACACTTCTAATATCCAAAAGTTACTGGTCTGGAGGGACCACGTTGGTCAAAAGGGGTGTCCGTGGAGATGCCTGCAGAAAAAAATGCCTCCAAAGTGGCATTTCTGCAGGCCGTCTCGAGGGGGTGGCGCTATGTGCTTCCCGCAGTCTGGTTCTCTGCTCCCTCTGAATTAGCTGCAGGTGGACAAAATGGCCGCAGTTAAAGAAGGGGATATTTGTGCAAAAAGGACGATGAAAAAAAAAAGGAGAGTCACTGACTCGTCGCAGCAGCTGAGGCCGAAGCGGACGCGCCTCCTTCCTCATCGCTGTCGTCCTCGTTGGATTGCGGCACTTCGGCCTCGGGGATGGTCGTCACGGGGGCTTCGGGCTCCTGCTCCGCGCGGCTCTTGAGTGCCAAAATCCGGTGATGCAACGCCGCCGCCAGCTGACCTACGTCCTTGGAACTACCCTGAGGAACACAACAGGATCATTGAGCAGTGAGGCATCTTTGGAGACAACAGCATTAAGGCGTGAAATTTTGTTCCATTCATTGCTTTGATTGAGTGTGGGTGTTCATGGCTTACGCCGGTCTCGACCTATGGATCTAACGTCTTAAGAAGTGTTTTTCACACAAAAGATTTACTGTAATTATGTATTTACAACCATTTCAGTAACACAGCACTCGTGTAGAGATCAGTCAAAAGGGGGTGAAATTTTTCTGCGGTTCAATTATGTGGAAAGTAGCACCATCTGTTGGCCAAACTAAAAGCCAGTATTTGTCAGTCTCACCTGTTGCATTTGCACGGTTACGCTAAACTAGTTTGCGCCTCTTCCTAAGTAAAGTACTCAAGGCAAGAAATTGCTCCCTTTGTTTAGTTATGGCCAAGAAGTGTTTTTCATACAAATAGTTATTGTAATTGTGACTTTACTGCTGCGGGAGCATAATTCAGGAACATATTACGGTTAGCTGACTTTCATCAAGTTTAGGTTAATTGACTGCAGGGGGAACAGAAGTCAGGTATTCCAAATTAAAAACTTATTTTGTAAAAGGGATCCTTACAAGCCATTGTTGTTGTACCGATCTTGTACTTTGACTTGCGAGTGCAGAGTTGACGTACAGTGGCAGTGACGAGACTCACTTCACACCGCGCAGCAGTTTGCCAGATACAATTCCTAACCACTTCTTCAGACTTCAGTGTGTTTATTGCCACTCCCAGCTGAGGTTGAGTTTCAAACTCATCATAAAACAAAGAATGGCGACTCGTGTATTTAAAACCTGAATGCTAACACTAAATTGCATCTGTATTGGGGTGCTTACACCCTTTCACAACTAAATGAACACAGTGCAGTAACATATACAGACAGACAATACAACAGTACCCACTGTCATACATTCTTTATCCTCTGCATAGAATGACCAATATTAATGATGCACTGATGAGAATGTGGAGACCGACGTCTGTAGCACCTCTCCAACCAATCAACAGCTTGGTAAAACGCACCGATATTAGGAAGACCTTGACCCCCTGGTCTTCTGTGTCTGTGGCGGTGACCCGTACACTCTTGTCGCTTGCCTTGTCCACCTGCATCTGGGGCCAAAGTTTAGTGTTGAGGATCAACCGGAGGCTGCCCTGGGTCCTCATCACTGGTAGGAGGCAAAACAAGACCTTGTTTGGCCATCAAACATCTTCAACCGTGTCCTGTCAAACGCGTAGCTAATTGCACACACTCATTTTGCTTAAGTTTACCTAGACGCGACTGTAGCGTGCCGTCGTCCGTCGACGCCATGTCATTGAGCCTGAGTAGGCCCCGCCCTCGCTCTATCCACGACTGTGCCGTCTTCTCAAAGACATACAACTTGCACTGCATCTGAATTTTGTGACAAAGCAAACTCACTCGATGCGCCAAAATGTCCAATTAACCCTCGAAAGTACCTGTAAAACATTGCTTTCTGATTCTTCCCCGGTTTTCACGTCCACTTTCTCTAAGATGCACTTCTTGGCTGTGGCTTTGGTGTAGGCTGCGGCAGATTCCTCCAAAGACTCTGACACGCTGTTCAATGCTGAAAAGAGTGCACGCTGTCAGGTGTTGAGCTGGACAGTTGATGTTGAGGGTTTTGAACAGTCACTACAAACCACTCAAAACGTCACTTTTTGACCACAAACAAGAGGTGACCAGGAAAGTCCTTTTATGGTGTGTGTGTGTGTGGAAGAGGAAGATATATGTAAATATCTCCACTTACACACTTTGTACAATATTTATTTGTGCTGTGCAAAGTGCCAGCTCTCGGGAATAAATTGCCACACATAAAATTAATTGTCTAAAATGTGACTTGTGCTGGGCCATGGCCACTTCTTATGAGCCTGCCAGAGGATGTGTATCGATCATATGCACAAGGCAAAGCGCACAACACTTAAGGTGTCAAGCACAATTTGAACGGCCTTGAGTGAGTTTCATTTCTGATGTGAGGCCATTTTGCAGGATCCCCTGTGTTCCAAGAGATGGCAGATGTGTAATGTAAGGGGAAGTATAGCACACCTGTAGTTAGCCTTAGCTGGTCCAAATCATTTGATACCTTCCAAATCCCTTGTTAATGTCCATTTTCCCGCAGTTTTGAGTTCTGACCGCACACACGCACACAAACTACAGGACAATATATTTGGTCTAGTTGTTGAGTTAGGTAATGGATAGCGACGGGCTGGAAAGCCGTTCACAGGGCGAAATTCGCGACTGGTTGCAGGACTGTTGAAAGTTTGTTCCCCGCGGACTGCCTGTAAATTCAACTTCCTCTCAAGGGACCACAACGCCTTCTTTTTCCGAGATGTATTTTTGCAGTCCCAAAACCCACAACGAGAACATAAATCACTGCGTATAAGGCGGGGAGGGGGTTCGGTGGGGGTGGGGGATAGTCACCCTTCTCTGCGGTGGCCTCCTGTGATGGGAGCTCTGAAGCCTCTGGAACCTCTTTACTATCATCACTGGGGGCCTCGCCCTTGGGAGGACTCTAAGCATGGGAGAAAAAAAATGACACAGACACATGGGAAATTAGGGCATTGTCCAACATGGCTGACTATACAAACAAGCTGTCCGCCCTCACCAAAACTCGTTCAGACATGTTCTGCCCAAACACAAATTTCGCCCCGCCGTCTGCACTGTTTGTGGCATTATTTGAACTGAAAAGACAGAACAGATGAATGGATTTATGCAACAACAACAATAATGATGATCATCATCATCATCAAGACACAATAAGTGATAATACCTTGGGGTAGAGATGTACTGCAAGAAATAATTGGTGCCCTCTGATTGACAGTCTCCTGGACTGCAGTCCTTTAACTTTTCTTCTGTACTGTTCTGGTCCACCTGGGAAGAAGGCACAGGAGGAATCACTCGCTTCTGACCATCCTTCAAGACCCAAGTCTAAAATGGAGTATAAACATACTTTGGAAAAACATTTTTTTTTAAATAACCCAATCCGCCTTAATTTGAATTCAGCAGAGGCCTGATAGTTGGATGTCTCTTAAAAAAAAATGATGCTGATCGATGACTCCGTGGCACGGGGTGAATCGCATCGTTTTCCCTCCCCCGTTCAGCTGAGAAAACGGTCAGCACCGACAATCTTGTTGTGCTAAAACTTTTCAATAACTACGACAGCCCATCAGGACTGTTGCCGCACACAACTGGAGGAGCAACTGATTGTGTTGAACGCTTCTTACCTAAATTCATCACCAAGTTCTGTTTAACACAACACCCCAACTTCATTGGAATTGGGTTTGTAGTTTGTAGTGTAGCGTGTGGGAGGTCTCAACGCGAGGGAGGTGGTTGTGGCTCACGAGAACCCACCTTTGCTCTGTCTTTGATATTCTGACCAAATACAAAAGAATTTGCTACGTCTCCTTCCTCCTTCTCGGTTCCTCCTTCATCTTTGACGTTACTCGGGCCGCGTTCCTCATTTTCGTGTTTCTGAAAAGAGCGGGAATGAAAAACAAACTTCACAACTGGGACTGGGGCGAAATAATTTCCCGGATTTGCCTGCAAAGGTACCAGTGATGTGTTCGGGGCGGCTGAGTGCTCTGTGTTGTTCAGGAAAAGGGACTGGGGTGCGGAAGGGCCGTCTGACGACTTCTTCACTCCGTTGGTTCCGCAAGTGGAGTCTGAACAGAAGGATAACTTGTAAAGTCGACAAGCGTGTGCAAAGATGTCAGCCAAAGTAACAATGACGTTGCGGCAGGTGGAGGAAATGTGATTTATACAATACATACTGGATTCTGTGTGGGATTTGGGGGGCGGCGCTTGAAGAACCGCAGGGCGGAGAACGCTGCGTTGTTGCTCTTTCGGTTTCTGACTCGGGACGCCTGCAAGAACAAACACGAGTGCTTTTAACTCAGAAGATGAGTTTCCGTGCTAAAAAATGTTTCTTGATTTGAATTAAAATCCAAAAGCCTGATTTCCACCGAGAGGAAAAAACTGCGACACTTGGGTATGAATGTGGGTGGGTGGAGCTAAACACTGCTATTAGTTGTTTTTAGAGGATTTTAAACCTTTTCTTTAAATTTTATATGTTATTTTTATTTTCGTTGGCAAAGCTTGCGAGTGACCATTTCATCTGGAACGTTGCATTGCCATTCACAGGCAACTCAACATGTATTTGATAGCTATTACAAAAAGGTTACAAATAGTGTTCCTGCAGTTGACGAAATAAAATACTGCCCGGTCACTATTTGTGAATTCTTTTTGTACCATTTTGGAGGGAACCAAGTGGCTTAAGGCAACATGCAGCACAAACCTGAACTGGGCGCCTGCCCGTGTATGAGAGTCGGCGGCTTTAGTCGGAACCCAACTGGCTTCTCCTCTGCCGACGCCCGAAAGCAGGTGAAGGGACGAAACATAAAACATACATCGGTTACATCACAACTTCTGTTCTTTTGCACCTCTCTGAGCCACTTGAGTCTGTTACCACAGCAACACTCTCAGTCATTTATAACATTTTCCTCTGTTCAAGCCAATGCTAATTTTGATTCAACATTTGTCTTGAAATGTGGCAGTGATCCAGACACCGAAGACAGAAAGAAAAAAAAAAAAAAAAAACACAAGCTGTGGTTCGGTTCTTTTAGTCATCTTGACCCTTTTGCCCTGTTGAGAAAACATTTTGGAACTGTTAACGACAAGTTTTGCTTTTCACTGATCTGCCAAACAACTGACAAGTGTAATTTGGTAGCTTGGTGTTGAAGCGCTGTCGCCATGGGTCGAAGTACAAACCATGCTGTCGTTTGTCTACTTTTTGAGACTGTGAGCTCAAAAAATAGCCACCCACCTAGTTGTCCTGGTAACACCAATATCAGAGGGTGAGTAGTGGCTAATTTACATGAGATGGGACCTCCCCCTCAAACCTGATACATTTCCAGTGCGGGATAGAACCGAAATTGTTGAACCGATCTGTTTTCTCAGTTTTAAAAACCCACATCTCGCTCAATGGGTCAGATAAGGGTTGATGGGAGCATTCTTCCCCCGCTTCATTATTGATCGGGGCCCTTTTTTTTAAAAACAAGAAGTCATTGCGAAAGCTCACCTGGCTCAGAGTCAGAGTTCCCAGTAGGAGACTGGCAGAAACTGGGGGGCATGAATACATTGTTCTTGGGAACTGCAAAGGAGTCGTGAGAAAGCCTCAGCATACAAATCAACTCTGTGTGCTACAAGCAAAACAGCAACAAAGTTGTTACCCGAGTGGAGCGGCGGGAATGATGAAGTCCTCTCCCTTTTTACTGGAGGAAAGTAGTTTGTCTCGTCTTTATCTGAATCTGACAGATCAAATCCGATGAATAATTTTGTCACATTGGCAAAGCAATCGGCCTCTTTCGACGTTCGACTTTACCTTCTCCATCCTCTGCACTTGAGCCCTCTGCAGATCGCTGTAAGATACACACCAAGCTTAGTTTGAAACAATCTCAAGACAAGGTCAGCTTTATTAAAAGAATACAAACAAACAAAAAAAATCTTACCAGCTTAAAAATATACAATAATTTGTCATTTGAAAATTTACAACCGTGAACATCGCGGGCAATCGTGACTAAAAGTGAAATATGTGCCTGAGAAGCCCTCTGGTGGAGCCTTGTTTATACTTCAGTCAGTGGTGAGGAATGTGCTTAGCGCCTTCTTCAAAGGCGTTCTTATTTTAGCTCGCAGAAAGCACTTTATCATCGTTATAGAAGCACTCACCTTCTGAGTTTTGTCTTTTTGGAAAACAAATACAGGAGGCGCTATAGCAGGCTTGTCTGTCGGGAGAAAAAAAAAAGAAAAAAAAAAGACTTTAATCATCCACATACAATGACAATGATGTATCCACACTGCGCATCAACAGTGGGGTTCAGTTTAGGATGGCAACATTTCCATTATAAGGGTACTGATGGACTCAACTCTACTTTGGAGGTAAGAGGGGTTATTTTGGGGTCAAATTTGAAATATTCAGAAGCAGCCCCCCCCACCCCGTCATTTTAGTAGTTTTCAAACAATTGTATAATAAGAGCACAAATGTGACCCCGAAACAAAAACAAACCAAAAAATATAAATGTCCTGGGTGTCAGCAGTCTATCGCATTTGTCCACATATTGATTGTCAGTTTCTCCCCTTTTTTGGTTCAATTGTGGTTTATTGAATGCTCAGTCTATGCGTTCATTTTTTTTTTTTCATTGGGAAGATTTCCTCAATCGTAGATATCAACTGGTCCTTTTAAGCCTCCGTAGGAACCGTGGGGGTATTTGTGAAATTCATCACAGCACTGGCTTTTGTCAGTGGATTAATAAAGTATAAGTAGCAAAGATAAACCTCAATTGCATCTGGTTACGTTGTGCTAATAAATCATGATGGCGGTTCAGATGCTGATAAATGGACCGTTAAGAAGACACCATTGGGCACCTGTGCAGAATCTCCTGTTATTTTATTATTATTGTACTTGCAGTAGTGTGGAACTGCAGTACATCGTAACAAGAGCAGCCTCAAATGCTTCATTTGCGCCGCCACTCACCGAAAACCAGTTGTGTTTACTGGCGGGATAAGAAAGATAAATCCAAGGGTCGGCTATTGATTTAAAGTTGCGTAGGAATCTGGGTGATGGTTTCAAGGCATGGAAATGACGCCAAGCCTCAAAAAACACAAGGCAGCCCTTTTATATGTCCACAGCGTCCATCCATTTCCATTTCAGAGAAGTGCAACTTCAAGATGGTAGTGTCAAGTGAAGTGTATGGCACACACGTTATTTTTAATGTTTCCAATTCTATTGCGTTAGGAGGAAAAAAAAAATAAAGGACGACAGTCAGGGGTAAGTACGTGCCTAAAAGAAGTCAACAACCATTTCAACAGTTTCAAACAGCAATAAAATGCACCCTATGAGAACCAATAGCAGAAATTCTGCCGATGTTACTCTCAGAATGACATAATGCACTTTTGTACCACAGCCACAAATTAACATACTGTATTGTTGAATTAAAGCTGCAAACAGATCCAGCACACAGTGAATCAGAGAAATTACTCGCCCCAAAAACTCAACTCGACGAGCGCAGAAGGAAGATTATTGGCGTGAAGAGCAGTGTGGGCAGTAGTGTGGTTGAATGGTTAGCATGTTGGCCGGCCTCACAGCGCAGAGGTGCAGGGTTCGATTCTAGGCCCCGGCCTTCCTGTCTGGAGTTTGGATGTTCTCCCCGTGCCTGCTTGGGTTTTCTCCGGGTACTCCCGTTTCTTCCCACATTCCAAAAACGTGCATGTCTCTTTCTTTGTCAGAATTAGGAATGGCATAACATTTAAGTAGTGTCGAGATTAACACACATATATATTAGAGGCTGTTAGAAGCACAGCAAACATCCTCGTAAACACAACGACATTGCATGTCTATTTGTGTGTGAACTGCATTGGTATCAGGTAACAACAGCATCTCTTTCCAAGTTATCTCATTTGGATTGATGGACTAACTCGAGCATCCTCCAGAGGCCATCCAGTAAATAGACAGAGCCACCCAGTTGTACGGCGATGGTAAAGGGGCGAATAGTGGAACATCGCTCAGGGTTGTGACGGTTCCACAAACGTCTTTGGCGACACTATTGACACCGCACGCTGAGCGTAACCAGAAGAACTCTTGAGGCGGAACATTTAGTCTCCAAGACAGATAAGAATAAGTCAGACGACTTTACCCGCCTAAAAGAACGTCAACTGAACCCCCAGCCGGCCGTTGACAACATGGGGGGGAGCAAAAAAAAAAAGGTCTTAAGTACCCACTCGCACAGGCGACCTGATATGTACTCGCTGGTTTCACATAAAGCAACACTTACAACGACAATATACTAGCAAATAAATATGAAGTGTCTATTATGTCTGCATAACAAACTGGCTATGAATAGCCGGGTGCTAGCATTGTGCGATAAAACCGCTAACTACAACGTTAGCATTCGAGGGCGTTCCGAAGCTTTCCAGCTATTAGCCGGATCCAAAGCCTTTAGCCGCGTTAGCTTGTTTGCTAACAGTGTAGCCTTGGAAACGCCGGGAAGCACTCGTGCGACTTCAACCGGCACCCAACAAGCCGCCGGCCTGTGTCTTATCATCCTCTAGCGAAGTACAAACGCCGCTGATGGCGCCGATCGGAAGACGGCAGTGCGTGTTTTTGTGTTCCTCTCTCTCCCCGCTACACACGGCTAAGCGACTCACCTTCGTTCGCCAAGTCCGCCATTTTACTTCGACGCACACACACCCACAAGCCACCGCGCAGATAAGACAGGCGCAGGCCGGGAGAGGGAGCGCTCACTCGGCCGCCGTCGACGAGCTCTCGCGTCCCGCCTGCATCTGCATTCGTCTGCTTTCGTCTGACTGCGTCTGCACTCGTCGGCCTTCGTCGACGAGCTCACGCGTCCCGCCTGCATTTGCACTCGTCGGCCATCGTCTGCTTTCGTGTGAGCGCCACAGCAGAACAAAATTATAAATAATACAATCCAAATGAAATTAGTTTAATTATGTCATCCTTCCAAAATTCTATACAACCCTTATTTATATACATTTTTTTTCTTGCTGATGTCAATATTATTTATTTAAAATTATTTCGATGATTCTTAGCACGTCTGCTTCATATTTTCGAGGTTTGTGGTTCAAATACTTGCATGGATTTCCAAAAATAAAATTAAACAAAAGAAACGAACCCAAAACAACAATTGGTTCTTATAGTTGTGGAAATTGCACAGGTTTAAATTGTACAAATTTAGTTCACACCGCTGAACCACTAGAGGGAGACATTTTTAAAACTGAGGGTTTGTCTCTTCCAGTCAGGGCGGGTCACTTTATTCGGAACCAAATGAGATCCAACGTATTAAAATATAGGGCAATTTTGCACAATATATCATGATAACTCAACAAACAACTTCCTCAAAAACACAACTTCTTTCCTAGGTTTATGTAACCAAGACGGAAAGTGACTGGAAATAATGAAAAATACCACAAATCATTCTAAAATCTACATTTAAAAAAAAAAAAAAAACACGCACACACAATTATTAGCGGCAGTGTGTTAGTTTGACTTAATGAATGAAAAACAAATGGCCACTTTTGGGGAACAAATTGTAATGTGAGAGAACACTGTCTCATTGTTCACATTACTATGAGGACAAAGTAAAGCAAGTCTTAAGTGCTGAGCAAGCACGCACGAAAAAAATAAACACACAAAAAAAAAAAAAAAAAACCTTGCAAAGCTTACGTGATTGCTCAAGTTTGGTAAAAAGAGAACCAATACAAACAAAACCAAAAATGACATTTCACAAGAGTTGACATTGCGCAAAGCCAAAAGGCCCCGAAGGCTTCCAGAAAGAATGAGACTTGACATTTTCCTTCAGGCGCGACCACAACAAGCCGCCGCTTGTGTTTAGTGCTTGTCTTATCTTCTGTCAGGAGAGCTTGCTTTGTGTTTGGAACCGTAACACTTTATTTTTTTCTTTTCCCATCCATCAGCACGATGCCAGCGTCTGCAGCATTAAACCTGACAGCAAATTCTCCCTTTCATAAAGACATTAAATCTTAATGCAATGTGTTCTTGGAGTAACGTGCCACATTTCTGTTTCTTGAATAGTATTTTGTTACAATGGTGTTGTTTGTCAAAGACAATAAATCAACAAAACTACAAAAACAGTGAAACATGAGCAAACATTTAAAATTAACTAGCTTCCAAATGAAACTATCAAAACATGACTCATGAATAATCTCTTGAATTCTTGAAAGGCGGCACCAGCACAATCATCCATCCATCCATTTTCTAATCCATTTATCGTCACAAGGATCGTGGGCGTGCCGGAGCCTATCCCAGCTGTCTTCGGGCAGTAGGTAGGGTACACTTTGAACCGGTTGCCAGACAATCGCAGGGCACACATAGACGAACAATCATTCGTGCGCACTCTCACACCTCAGGACAATTTCGAATGTTCAATCAGCCTGCCATGCATGTTTTTGGAATGCGGGAGGAAACCGCAGTACCCGGAAAAAACCCAGGCAGGCACGGGGAGAACATGCAAACTCCACGCAGGAAGGCCGGTGTCTGAATCAAACCCTGCACCTCTGCACTGTGAGGTCGACGCGCTAATCGGTCGACCACCGTGCCGCCCTCAGCACAATCAGTCCATCTAAACACGGTCTTGCTAGAGGTTAACTTAGGAGCTGCCTTCTGGTTATAATTCTTGATGAACCTTCTATCAAAACTGGCAAACCCCAGAAACCGTTCCAATTGTTTCCGGGTTGATCGTGAAGGCCAATCTCACAGACGTGAGCTAGGAAGGGTTGAATTTGGTAGGAAGTCATTAGCACAGTCGTAGGGGCGACGAGGTGGTAACGATTGAGCCAGATCTTGACTAAACACCTTCCTAAAATCATGATATTCTGGTGGCACTGGGTCTAAAATAGCTGAAACAACAAACACAAACTGAACATGTCACTATATAGCTAAGCATTATTCACACAACTAGCTTGCTAACTATCTTGTTGACTAGCTTAAAACTAGCGGATGGTTGTTCGTCTCTGTGTGCCCTGCGATTTAACAAAAACAAATAAACTAAGTCTGTAAGGCGAGCCTGGGAGCAAACCGTGTCTGATGTATTACTGCTCCCTTTCACCAAGAAAAATGGAGCTGTTGGAAAAATTATTGTTCTTAATATGAATTTAATGGTTGTCGGGAATCAGCCGTGCTGCTTTTTATTTGTCTTTTCTTTTAAGTGTCTTTGTGCATACGATGCACCACAGTACATTTTCACTCATGGGCATCTATGCCTGCAGGGAAGATGTGTTCTTTGCGGATAGGTGCACTGCCAAAGTCAACATGGCACTAAAACAATGTTGGGTTGTCGGGAATGAGTTATGACGCTTTGGCCCGTGCCCAAACCCCGTCGGCGGGGGACCATCGAATCCCGACAAAGCGTTGTCGCCACTAAGCTGTCGGTAATTTTTTTGATCATGCACTCGCAGGGGTGGAGATAATCATCATTTACTCATTTGGCTTCTGCTTCACTGACTTTGCAGAGATACTCCTGTCAGTCATCCTGATCTTAAAAGAGCGTGAGAATAACCTGCTAATAAAATTAGCAGCAGTTGCATTGCGAAATTGCACCAAAAAGGGGGGGGGGGGGGGTCTTT